TTTTTTGAGACCGAGTCTCGGTCTGTCGCCCAGGCTGGAGTGCGATGACGCCATCTTGGCTCACTGTAACCTCCACCTCCCGGGTTCAAGCGATTCTCCTCCCGAGTAGCTGGGATTACAGGCGCCTGCCACGACTCCCAGCTAATTTTTGTATTTTTAGTAGATACGGTGTTTCGCCGTGTTGGTCAGGCTGTTCTCAAACTCCTCACCTCAAGTGATCCACCCGCCTCGGCCTCCCCAAGTGCTGGGATTACAGGTGTGAGATACCGTGCCCGGCCTCCCTGGTTACGTAACTACAATATCTATGCTTCAGAGGAGAAGTACCGGAGCTAGGAGAACGCGTGACAGGGAGTTCTGAGCTAGGCTGGGTTTGGGGAAGATTTCCCTGAGAAAGTGACCTTTAAGCAGAGAAGTGAAAGATGAGGGGAGTTCGGGGACGGTGCAGGGATGAGCGTTCTCATCCTGGCAATGGCAGTGTCGTGTGAAGGCAGGAGGAAACAGAACATCTGGAACCTGAAGAGGCCAGAGAGACTGGGACAGAGACAGCCAGAGGCAAAGTCGTTCCTTCTGGCTGCTGAGCCAGATGGGGGCGGCTCGCACAGGCCTTTAGTCTATGTTATGGCTTATGACGTCTAGTTAAATCGCCATTTACCCACAAGCTTTAAGTGCTGCCCAAAGGCCCGTGACCTTGCTTACCCCGCCACAGCAGCAGCCTCCCCTGCAGACCCTGGACTTTCTCATGCGGAAGAACCATCCCCTCTAAAACCATCTCCAGCATCCCTCCCGCTCCCGTGCACTTGCTCCTTGACCTCTAAGCCCAGGGACCTCCATTTTTTTTTTTTGAGACAAAGTCTTGCTCTGTCACCCAGGCTGGAGTGCAATGGCATGATCTTGGCTCACTACAACCTCTGCCTCCTGGGTTCAAGCAATTCTCCTGCCTCAGTCTCCCCAGGAGCTAGGATTACGGGCGCCCGCCACCACACCCAGCTAATTTTTGTATTTTTAGTAGAGATGGGGTTTCACCATGTTGGCCAGGCTGGTCTTGAACTCCTGACCTCATGATTCACCCACCTTGGCCTTCCAAAGTGCTGGAATTACAGGCGTGAGCCACCGCGCCCGGCCTTTTTTTTTGAGATGGTGTCTCACTTTGTCACCCAGGCTGGAGTGCAACGGCACAATCTTGGCTCACTGCAACCTGGGAGACGAAGGTCTCCCGGGTTCAAGCAATTCTTCTGCCTCAGCTTCCCGAGTGACTGGGACTACAGGCGCACACCACCACGACTAGCTAATTTTTGTATTTTTAGTAGAGACAAGGTTTCACCATATTGGCCAGGCTGGTCTCGAACACCTGATCTCCTGATCCGCCCACCTGGGTCCCCCAAAGTGCTGGGATTACAGGCGTGAGCCACTGCGCCCAGCCGATCTCACCTTTTTTCCAGGAGAATCAGAACCCTCGGGGTGCCATGGTAAAAATCCAGAGTCAGGCTCCACCTTTCCAGATTCTGAGTCAGAAGGTCTCAAGAAGAATCCAAAAATCTCGATTTTTAATTAGTACACACTTTGAAAAACTGCCCTTTTTATTTATTTTATTGATTGATTGATTATCTTTTTTTGAGATGGAGTCTCATTTTGCCGCCCAGGCCGGAGTCCACTGGGGCAATCTCCGCTCACTGCAACCTCCACCTCCCAGGTTCAAGTC